CGATTGTGCCATTTCCAACCCTGACTCACTCCTCTTACTCATTCAGCTCTGTACTTTGAACACAAACATTCTTTTAAAGTGACCAAATCAATTCCCAATAGCTCAGATTCCAGTACAGTCTCTCCTAGGGCCGGCCCGGGTCATTTGGATACCCGAGTACTTAATTACGTTGGTACTCTATTCTCTACGCAGTATTTGGAAGCTTTGTCTTTTTATTAATCCACAAAAATTGCAGCCTAAAATAAATTTCATCAAAGGCCTTATATATATATCTCACACACACACACACACACACACACACAATAGTTAGTTCCGGCCACACAAGCTGTTTGGTTGAGAAGCGTTCTAACCATGCTGTTTATTTGCTGTCTCATTGCCACAACCAGCAATAAGGGGCTGGTATATCACGGACACACAACAGCAACATACATGCTTAAAATTACGGATAATAATAAAACATGAACATTATTGTTTTTAAGGTTAATTTGGAGAACGAGTACTCATATGCTCATTCAAAAATACCAACGAGTATTTAAAGCCTGTAAAATGCTGACCGGGCCAGCCCTACATGTATATTCTCAACCAATCAGCTTGTGTGGCTGGAACTACTATTGTGTGTGTGTGTGTGTGTGTGTGTGTGGTGTGTAGGTGTGTGTGTGTGTGTGTGTGTATAAAGGCCTTTGAATGAAAATTTAATTTTAATTGATGAAATTTATTTTAGGCTGCCATTTTTGTGGATTAATAAAGAGACAAAGCTTCCAAATATATGCTTCATTATAATATACAGCCTTATGCAAACGTTTGAGCACTCCTAGTCCAAACACATATTTTGTTCATTTTCTGACTAAAAATAAGTCGATACATCTTCTACAGGGAATAAACTTAAATATGACTTTTTTTTGCAAATTTTAGTCACAATTTCTATTTTTAATTTACGTTTAACATTAAAAAAACATGAACATTTTGGCAGAACTTTTGCACAGGCTGCATTTTATGTTTTACAATTTTCCCACCATGTTAAATTCAGCAAGTAAACAGTAACTGTGCAATGAAATGTGCAGAAGTGTGTTCTCAGTAGAGGATATTTAACTTATTCACACTTAGAGACTCAACAACAACAACCAGTGGCGCACAAACTTTTGCATTGAACTGCATATCTACTGCTTATGCTTTTCCATTTAGACTGAAAATGTTCCTGATGTGGTTCTGAACCAGTGCATCCTAAAATAAGGACTAGAATTTAAAGCAAAAGTACAGAACAACCAGGCGTACCAGGCGTTTTCCTCTGAACGTCAGTAAAAGTCCTCTGTTAATAAAGGCATGTGCTAAAGAAAACTGCCTCAAAGCTGGTGATGACTATATTCTCTATAGAATATCTTCTGTTAGCGTCTCCCCTTTGAGTGTCCCTTCTTTAAAAGGCTGGATATATTCTTCTCTCATGAAGTATAATAAGTATAACTGGAAGTGGAGTATCTGTTTCTAGTGTAGATTACCATAATAGAAGTACTGTACAATATAATAGAATGATTTCAAGTTATTTCTCTTGACTGCACCAGTGTTTCTTTTTTTTTAACCTATAAAAAGCTGTGTACCAGGATATGACAACGTATAAAGCAGTATTTGCAATAGTCTATATTCATATGCAGTACTGTACAAGTTAAAGGCTTCCAAGAAACTAACTAAACCTCACAGTTTACAAATAAGCGAGTTCAATTCCAGTGTGTTCACAATATACATAGACGTTTTAAGGCATGTTGTCGGCTATCCTTGGACGATTATGTTTTTTTTTTTTGTACATATATATTTTTCACATACTGTTTTAGATTAAAGAGACGCCCATTTCAAGTTTTATAAAGAAGCTAACGGCGTTTTTTTGCAGCATGTTAAGTTACACTACGGCTTTTATCGAGAACGAGGTTGACCATTGTGCTTCCCAACAACACTTATTTTAGTCTATTTTATTTTCTTTCATCTCCACTATAACCCATAGGCCTTCTGTGTTTATTTCAAAACACTTTGGGCTCCCAGATCTACTGACGCTAAACCTAGATGCTTTTCGATTTTCATTCATCGCTGGCACTGCAGTCCAAGGCTGTGTTCGGAATCGCTCTCTATTAAAGAAACAGTGCACTGTACAGTGTATCAGTCATTTTACAGCAGTGGTCAAATTCTCAACGCCAAACATGACCCCTGTATAGTTCATAGTCACGCAGAGTGCACTGTAAATTGTAGTGTAAATGTAATATACACTTGAATTTCAAATGTGGGCAATAAAGCCATGTGAAGGGATCTCACCACGTAATATAACTGTAACTGAAAAGTGTTTGAAGTGGAATTTTCCAACAATTTCTGTACTCTTTGTATAATTTAATGGCTAAGAAAGTCGTTCAGAGTGGTTTGGTGTGAAACGCTCTGTTCTAGAGAAACTTAGAGTCAGAATTGTTCACAGTGGTGGTGATAGGAACCAGACGTCCACCTCTAAAAGCTCCCTCACAGAAAGTTACTACATGAAATGGTTATGAATTCACTGCCTGATGACTGAGACACTGTTTTATGATAGTTTTGAGAAGCTTTTGGCCTTGAAGTCCATTCATGGTGGAAGGATACAAGCAGGGCGCTGTGAGGCCAAATAGCCCCCCAAAAAAATGTATTATTTCAGATTTTCCACTATTTTCCATCATCAACATTCCATATAAACTCAGAAGACTCGTGTAGGTTCACTGGTGGTTTTGGATAGTAAATAAAATGTCTATATTTGTGTTGTAGTCATGGCAACCCCTGGTTCCTATCATCACCACTGTCAAGAAATCTGCACCATTTCACACCAAACCACTCTGAATCACTGTTGTATTATGCAGAAAATTTTAAAAATTGATGGAATTCCCCTTTAAGCGTTGGTGTAAGGGTGGTTGGCACCATCCTGAATTAAAATGTTTGTTGTCGGCAGGTTTGATTTGCATTGCAGCATGAAAAATGATCAGTGAGGGCACGCGCTCCCCCCACGTCCTGAAGTGTGGGACTTCACGACTTATCTTGTTTCCACACCTTACTAAGTTGTGACTATGACTTATCTCACTCCCACCACTTCATAATCTCACTGTTTCAGCTTCCTAGGATCATTTTTACATTAGGTCACCCAAGAAAATGCCTGAATATAGTGGTTTACAGACCGAGGGGCTGATTTGAGATACACCTGCAGTGTAGTTTGAGGGACTGTACTGCTGTGTAATGTGTTCAGTGCTGTGTTATGTACTATTACTATATTCAGTATTGTGTGTGTTGTGCCATGCATGTGATGTGATTGTACCTAGAACATTCTGTTTTGTCTATTTTTGTCTATCCCTACATGGTCATGTCTGTTACACCTGTCACTTGTCATGGATAGGCTGGGCCTAATCTTGGCATCAGCCCAGCCTATATAATTGTGACTGTCCACGGTTTAACAGGCTGGCTAAATGTCTGGGTACCTGCGTCCAAGAAATGAAAAAAATCAGTCCCCCAGACATTGGGCTGCTCCCTGGCTTGGATTCTTAAAACTTTCATACTTCTTGAATCATAAACAGCTGTCAGTTTTCATTAAAAAACAGTTATTAGTGAATACGAAACAGCTACAGCCTGCTTTTTCACATTTAGGGACATTTCTGTCAATTTCTGTAAGCTACTTTTCTAGCTAGCTGATATGTTTCACTCTCTAACAGTGAAGTTTTGCCTCTGTGATTGGATGCTGGTTGCCAGGATAGCGAAACAAGGCGTCTTTAAATGTAGTGTTTAAAATCATTGCCTGAACGAACTCTATTTAAAATAGCTCCCTATCAGTGAAAGCACCGCTTTATGTGGTGTGTCAGCCATGTGGTCAACGATAAATCTCTCTGCCATTCCATGACCAGTGGTCACTGCAGCAAATGCTACATAGTGACTAGTGAATGAGTTCAAACATAACGGTAATTTTCCTAGATAGGGCATAGTGAGTGAGTGAACCAGCGAACCATTCCGAACACGGCGCAGGGATAAACATTAGCTGCATTTGGAAACGCTCCCTAGAGAGTTTCGTGTCAGCCATGTTGTCTCCTCTAGTTCGAATTCCGTCATTCCTTGGTTGTTCTCCATTCGGTTCACTAACAGCAAACGCTATGTAGTGAATATCAATCCGGATAATAGGGGAACATTTCGGAACAGAGCAAATTTTCCAAAATTGGTGACTGAGCGAACCAGTGAACCATTCCGAACACATCGCAGGACTAGTATGAAGCCCTGATGGTGCTTAGGTGCAGGTATCCCCTCTTAATAAAAATAATGTGTGGCCACAACATAGTAAGGGGTGGAAACAAACTTAAATATCTCATTTCCACACTTTGCTAAGTACGACTTAGCAATCACAACTTAATTATCTCACTTTCATGCCTTCCTCAGTTGTATACCTATTATCTCATTCCCTCGCCTTACTAAGTCGTGGCCACAATTTAACCATCATATCTTAAATATCTTGTCATAGCCATGACTTATCTCTTTCCTATGCCTTACTAAGTCAAGGCTATGACGTATCTCACATCTTACTAAGTCGTGGTAAGGTGTGCGGATGAGATAATTGAGTTATGAGATTGAGACAATTAAGTCTTTGTACTATTATTATCTCATTCTCATAACTTATCTCATCAGCACACCTTGTTAACTAATGGCCCGAACTTAATTATCTCATTCCCACGCCTCACTATGCTGTGGCCACGACTTGTCTTGCTCCTGTGCCTTGCTATGTCCTGGCCTAGACTTAGTAAGGTCTGGGAACGAGATAATAAATGTAACCATCACAAAATAAACATCTCCTTCCAAAACCATACTTAATTATCTCATTCCCACGTCTTATTAAATTGGCCATGACGTAACCATCACGACTAATCATTGGCAACAACATAGTAAAGTGTGGGAATGAGATAACTGTGATGGTTGAGTTGTAGCCACAACTTAGCAAGGTGTGAGAATGAGATAATTAAGTCATTCCTGTTGCCACACCTTAGTAATGTATTGTTTTTATCAGGAACGGATCGCCAGCAGGTTTCTGTGGATTAGGCTGTACTCCGTGTCAAGGATCCGGCCCTGGATTCCAAAAAAACAGTTGTGCTACTGGGTTTGTGGTCCGGTCTGCGGTGCCTCACCGCCAGGCTCACATTCCACGAGCGTGTCCCTCCCGTCTCCTTCTGCCAGCTGCCTCATCCTCATGTTTATGGATCCGTACGATTTCATGGGTCTCCCTGTTCCGGCGAAAGTCCTGCGCCGGGACAGCTCTCCCTTGCATATGGACGCCATCAGCAGAATGGAGAGGAGCATCCCGCCGAGCGTGAGCAGACCGAGTCCGGCGATGATGCACTTGTCGAGGTGGGAGCCGAGGCGGGCGTAGTACATCTCCAGCTTCTCCATCTGGCGTGCGCTCACCTGGTCCGGGTTCACGCGTGCCTCCCTGGGGATGGTGTAGGCGACCACCACCAGCAGGATGCCACCGACGAGGAACACGAGCGCGCAAACGAAGCCGTAGTCCACGGACTGGCCGCTGTACTCTGGGCTCGGGCTCGTGCTCGGGCTCAGGGGAGCGTGGGGACGGTACTTCCCGGTGACGATGGAACGAGGGCTGCGGCCGCACCTCGCCTTCATCCTCCTCCTCCTCGAAGGTCGCGTTGACGACGCCCGCAGGGTGGCAGCCATGTCGCGTGCTGCCGTCCCTGCCCAGCTCGCGGAGCTCCACGGCGTTCACGCGCTCCATCCACGCTCGGCCCGCGCGCTCATGCCGCAGCGACAAAAAAACCCTCCTGAAATAAAAAACACATTGTAGCGTTCACCACTATTACAAGAGACACCGCTTTCGCACAAGTCATGGTGATTTATTCTCCAGCTGTTGTCGGCCACAGCTACGCCGTACATCAGCAGAGATTTCTCTCAGTTCGCTCTCTGGCTCAGCTCAGGTCTCTCTCTCTTCCTGCTCTCACACACATAGGAGCGTGATAGGGGCCTCATCTTTACTTCTGAAAGACTCCGCCTCTCTGAGATGCTCTTTTATACCCAATCATGTTACTGACCTGTTGTGAATTAACCACCAGGTGTCTTTAGCATTACACTATCAACTTTACCAGCCTTTTGTTGCCCCCGTCCCAACTTTTTTGGAACATGCCGTTGGCATCAAGTTCAAAATGGGCAAATACTTTTCAAAAACAATACAATTTCTCTGTTTCAACATCTGATATGTTGTCTTTGTACTATTTTCAATTAAAATTTTGGGTTCAAATGATTTGCACATCATTGCATTTTGTTTTTATTCCCATTTGCACAACGTTTTTTGGAAATGGGCTTGTATATATGTTGTATACAAAACCTCCATCTCCATTTTTTCGTTTTTCAGTTTTTGGCACAATTTGAAAATGCCTGTTAACCTTTACATTGTGTGTACATTTCGTGATGAATGGACCTAAAGTGTAAATTTACCATTTTGGAGAGGTTTGTTGTTCCAACAGCAGCTATATACATTGTATGTATGTATGTATGTATATATGTATAGTATATATATATGTATATGTATATATATATATATATATATATATATATATATATATGAGAGAGAGAGAGAGAGAGAGAGAGAGAGAGAGAGAGAGAGAGAGAGAGATACATATATGTATGTATATTCCAGCCATTAATATGACCCTCAGCTACATCTAAATTACTCGAAGCCTCGAGGCGTTTGTTTAGAAGGCGTTTTCCGAGCGTTCATAACAATAACAGACCAAACCCAACCTTCACAATCACAGACCGGCGACCACTGAGTCTCTGTGCATTTGGTGTATCTGATTACTGCAATTTACCCACAGATCTAATCTAATCCCACTCTTTACCACCTCCCAGAATTCCAGCATGCTCAGTCCGTGCTGCCCTTTTCACAAACCTGGAGTCGGCTTCCTCTTCGCCAGCTCCTCATTCGGATTCCCCGTTCCACCTTAAACGGTGCGGCAGCTATGTTCTGGCGGCTGAGGCGTCCGAATGGATCCGCTGCACCATTTAAGGTGGACCGGGGAATTCGAACGAGGAGCCTGGGAATGAGGCGTCCGCCAGTGTTCACTCTCACTCCATTAACGCCACTCCTACACAGAGGTCTGATCTTCATCACTCGCTCCAGATTAAGGCCATCATCGCCTGATTACTCGCCGAAAACAGCAGCTATTTGAAGGCAGCGCGACCTTGTGTGGAGCTCGTTCAGCCTTTCGGAGACTGTCGTAGCATCATAAAGAGAAAAGGCATGTATTAATGTCGAAAGATGCTGGTTAGAGGTGGTGCTTACCTTCAGGTGTTGACGGAAGGGCAGAGAGCATCGTGAGGGATGCGGTGTGTGTGTGTGTGTGTGTGTGTGTGTGTGTGTGTGAGTGAGAGAGAGAGAGAGAGAGAGAGAGAGAGAGAGAGAGAGAGAGAGAGAGAGAGAGAACCTGCCATGCGCAAACTATTCCAGTTTAAAGTGCCAATGCAACCTTTTCTTCGCGCTGTATCCACCTGCACTAGCACTAGCATTTTAAAGGGAAACTCCACCAAAATTTCTGTACAATTCAGTCATTCAGATGTAAACAGTCATTCAGAGCGGTCTGATGTGATGTGCACTGCAAATTCAAGATAATGCCAACCACTCATGTCACAAGCACCTACAGGGGAATTCCACCAATTTCTCAAAATTTCTGCATAATTCAGTGTGTGAGGTGTAATCAGAGAGATTCAGAGTGGTTTGGTGTGAAATGGTTCAGATGTCTTTACAGTGGCGGTGATAGGAACCAGGGGTCGCCATGACTACAACACAAATATAGACATTTTATTTACTATCCAGAACCACCAGTGAACTTACACGAGTCTTCTGGGTTTATATGGAATGTTGATGATGGGAACATAGAGGAAAATCTGGAAAAAATGCAAAAATAAAATGTCTATGAGGCTATGTTGCCTTTAAGCATCCTCAATCTACCTCTTTAGAATGAATGGATTTTAAACAGTGTTTTGGGCCAAAACTTTCAGAAAACAGTGTCTCAGACATCAGGCAGAGTGTTCATAACTATATCATGTAGTAACTTTCTGTGAGGGAGCTTTTAGAGGTGGACGTCTGGTTCCTATCACCACCACTGTGAACAGTTCTGACTCGGTAAGTTTCTCTAGAACAGAGCGTTTCACACCAAACCAGAATGACTTTTTACATATTAGCCATTTAATTATGCAGAAATTTTAACAAAAAATCCCCCTTTAAAGTATGAAGCCAATTCCAAAAATGTTGGGACATGAAGTAAAATGCAAACCAAAACAGAAGGCGGTTATTTATAAATGTACTATGTTTAAACAAAAACAGGACAAAGACAAGTTTTATGTTTTTTTAATATTCATCATAAATGTACTAAATAAATTAATGCCTACAACACGTTCCAAAAAAGTTGTGACTGAGGCAGTTTAAGATTAGGAATGTCGTGCAATGTTCAAAAAACATTTAATACAGGAGACGTAATCATGTTTGGATATAAAAGAAAGACAGAGGCTTTCCTCAGACAGGGGTTCTGAGGATTTTAGGTATTTCACCCTCTACGGTGTAGAATATCATCAAAAAAGTCAGGAAATCTGGAGAAATCTCTCTGCATGAAGGAAAAGGGTAAATGCTACAACTGAATGTCCATGACCTTTGACCCCTCAGATGTCACTGCTTGAAAAACCAGCGTGTTTCTGTGATGGAGATTACTGAATGGGCTCGGAAATACTTTGACTGTTGCCAATAAACACCATCCATCACTGCGTCTACAAATGTCACATATCAACAATGTCCAGAAACACTGCCGACTTCTCTGGGCTTGAACTGATCAGAAATGGCCTGTTGCTCAGTGGAAATGTGTATTGTGGTCTGATCAGATTGTTTATGGAAATGATGGATGTTATTTTCAGGCCAAAAAAGAAAAGGAGGATCCAGACTGTTACCAGCATAAAGTCCAGAGTCTGTTATGGTGTGTGTGGGGGGGGGTATTAGTGGGTAACAGTGGCAATCATGCTCCTGTCCCAACTTTTTTGGAATCAGGTTTGGAAAGAGCATATATTTACAAAAAAGCAATGAAATTCTTAAAGTGAAATGTCAAATATGGTGTTTTTGTATTGCTTTCAATTAAATACAGACCAAACAGAATTTACTAATCACTGCTTTCTGTTTTAATTAGCATTTCACATACAGTCCCAAACTTTTTTGGAACTGGGTTTGTAGCTGAACTCACTCATTAGAAGGGCTGTCTGGACACTTTTGGACACATGCTGTAGCTGTAATACACTCTAAGCTCTACTGCTGTGAAGGGATCGGTAGAGTAGAGCCTATGTAGGCTTATAGCACTCTCTAAACATCAGGCACTATGGCAACAGCCACTATTGATCTCCACTTTCAAAGCCTATTCATTGGCCTAGGCTCCTCATACATCTGATCAGCAGTAACACAGTGTCCCATTCTGTCTTTCAATCAGTGTCGGCTCCACTCTCATCTCCTTTAAAAGGTGAAGGTGTGTGTTCGCTGGAACTTGAGCGCCAAGGATTTCACAAAGATGATGGAATTGCCATGGAAACCAAGAAGAATCAGGATCAATGATGTGTATTATTTTAACAGCTAGGAGCTCAGACATGTTTCTTCACCCACCTGTTCTGTTCCTATGTGAGCTAATAGTGGCCAAACTTTCTGCTTTCTTGATAAAGTAAAATCTTTTGAGGTGTTTATGTGATGAGTGTATCAAAAGGCAAAGTGTTTTATTGTCAGCTTCATTATAATAATTGTAAAGTTTCTCAGATAATGCACTCATACTGGTAGATGGGGTGGGGGGTGATCGATTCTTAGATGCATCGCGATGCGGATATAGACGATTCTGAATCAATTCACAAATGTCAAAAATCGATTTTCTAAATATGTAATTCATAATGTAATGTTGACGGAACGCAAAAGGCGGAACTTGGAAATGCGGAAGTGCAGCGCCCGGACAGTCTGTGGCGGCACATAACAAAACCAAAACTGGATGAGTGAGAAATCCGACCGGCTCCCTCTGCCTTAAAGCCAGGTTAGGTCAGGAGTCACAACACAAATGATAAGAAGAGCCATTTCGTCCTTTCAACAAAAATCAAACCACCTTGGGAGCCGGAACATTTAATGTCCAGCATGTCTCAGTATGTGTTAATGTTGTAGTATAGGCTAAAAATATAAACGAAAACGCAGATTTACTCTGCTCTGCTTTAAGCTTTAGCTATAGTCGCCTTTCCTCCCATCTCCGCCAGAAAACTTTTCTTCAAAAGTAGAACAGTTTCTTGTAAAATGTCTCTCAACGTTCGACTGTTTTATGAGGCTGAAGTCGCTTCTTATTTGCCAGCAACTTGTTCGAATTTTCCCATTCCTCCTTAAATTCTGCCTGAGGCGCCGAATGTAAATGTGGCACCATTTAAGTTGGAATGGGAAAATTCGAAAGAGAAGCGAGTTCATCTTCACAACTTTTTAGTGTTTGACAGTCTCTCATTGCAGGTTTAACGTTCCAGGAAACCAACTGCGCTGCTTATAAATGCGAATAAGTCCATTCGTCTCCAAATGTTTGTCTTAAATCTCTCTCTTTGCCTCTTCATTCGCTACTAGCCAGGCGAGACTGCATTGCTATGTGACCTGCAGTCTGCATGCCAGTTCTCAGTCGTTGAGAACCAGGGCTTTCGTGCACTTTGGAGCCGAGATACAGTGTCCAGTCTCGA